TGTAATTTCAGTTACAAAAATGATTGCTGGTTACAAAAAAAAAGGACTTTAAAGGGACATTGTGTAGTATTTTAAGTATTTACTAGCTAAAATAATTTTCTTCATTTATAAATGTGTCCTCATTCGGTGTAAAATGATATGACTTCTCATAAGGAAGAATTTCCTATCTGTATACACACAGGACGGGTAAGTCCACAGAGGTTTCCATGGCGATCGGCCATGGAGTCACGTGACTGAAACCAGTTGTAATCAGTGAGAGGAGATCGTCCCCTCCATGCTAGTCGCTGTATCTTTGCTGATTAGGATAGTTTATGCTAATATATCACTTCTAATTAGCATAGTTATGCTAATATATCACTTCTAATTAGCACAGTTCAGCACCATCATTCATTCATTCATCATCCATCCATCATTCATCCATCTATCTATCATCCATCCAATCATCCAACCATTCATCCATCATTCATCCATCATTCATCCATCCATCATTCATCCATCCATCCATTATCCATCATTCATCCATCATCCATCCATCCATCACAGCTTTAATTGAGGATTTCCAAACACGTTTAGTTTTTTTGCTCCACTGAGAAGGAAAATGAATAAAGACCCACAGAGCTTTTCTGCTTTTCTTCAGAGGAAGATCCACTGGAGTGGATTCGTCTTTATTTTGGATAAATCTGAAGGGTCTGGAGGCAGAGGCCCACAGACCCACTGGGTCCCTTTTAACTGGTCCAGGTCCGGTTCACTGGTCCAGGTCCAGTTCACTGGTCCAGGTCCTGTTCACTGGTCCAGGTCCAGGTCCCGGTTCACTGGTCCAGTTCACTGGTCCAGGTCCAGGTCCAGTTCACTGGTCCAGGTCCAGGATCTTTGGGGGCTCTTCCGGCTGTGTTGGCTCCGGTCCTGGACTGGTGTCCTGCAGAAAGAAAATAGATTTACGGCTCACAGAGGGGGAGAAAGTAACTAAATTTAGCCTGGGAGTTTGGCCAGGAAGTGAAGGGAAGTGACTTCCTGGCCAATCAGAAGCTGCTGGCGGGGGTTCTGGGCTTTTCTTCTGGTTTCTCCAGTGTTTTATTGAGATTTGAAGCTATTTTTATTTAGATTAAGAGTCTTTTAGCCTTATTTATATTAAAAGTTTGTTAAATCTTTTGATTTGCTCCCTTCAGTTTAATCCAGTGTTATTATCTATCTATCTATCTATCTATCTATCTATCTATCTATCTATCTAT